TTATATATATAAGAGAATTCAGTGAATTTGAAGAATACACAAAGAAATCAAAGAACTGAAGGAAGATAGGGATAAACTTCTGAGTGAATTTAGAAATGAGTTAGAAATATTGAAGAATACGCAGGCTAAAATGAAGAAGGAAGTGTAAGCCAATCAGAAGTGACAGGAGAGAGCTTCACCAATAGGACGAATGAAATGGAAAACAGAATATGAAGATTGTAAGATAATGGATTGTAAGAAAGTGGATGAAGTAGACCACTCAAGCAAAGGTTATGAAAAATTTAAGAAAACACAAAAATGGAATATTCAGGAATTGTGTAACACCATAAAAAGACCAAACCGGGGTTGGAGAGATGGCTCAGTGGTTAAGAATACTGGCTGTTCTTGGAGAAGGCCTGGGTTCGAATCCCAACACCCACATGGCAACTAACAACTGTCTATAATTCCAGTTCCAGGGGATCCAACAACCTCTTCTGTCCTCTATGGGCATTGCACGACACAGGTGCACTTACCTACATGCAGGCAATACACACATACACATAAAATAAATAATATTTTTTAAAAGACCACACTTACAAATTATAGACATACAGTAAGAAGAAGAATCTCAGGATAATGGGATGGACCAGATCTTCAACAGGATCGTAGAAGAAAACTTCCCAAAATTAAAGAAAGACTTGCCCATACAAATACACGAAGCATATAGAATACCAAATAGACAGGACCAGAAAAGAAACCCTCCTCGGCACATCATAATAAAACCACTAAACATACAGAACAAAGAGAGATTATTGAAAGCTGCAAAAGAAAAACAAGTCGCATATAAAGGAAAAACTATCAGAATTACATCTGACTTTTCAGTGCAAACTATGAAAGCCAGAGAGCCTGGACCAAAGTATTCCCAGTTCTAAATGAACACAGATGCCAACCCAGATTACTTTACCCAACCAAAATCTCTATTATAGTCGAAGGGAAAGAAAAAATCTTCCATGACATAAATAGGCTGAAACAATTCATGTCCACAAAACCAGCCCTTCAGAGAGTTCTTGAAGCAACACAAAGACCTGAAGAAAGGAATGACTATACCAAAAGGGTTGTGGAAAGAAACCTAATCAAGGTATAACTATGGAAATGCACAGCTGCACCGAGAATGTGAACAGAACTAAAAATGATAAGAATCAATAAACAACTTTCATTAATAACTTTAAATATCAATGGACTGAACTCCCCAGTCAAAATACACAGACTAGTTGAATGGATTAAGAAACAAAACCCATCTTTTTGTTGTCTGCAAGAAACTCATCTCACTTTCAAGGACAGGCACTACCTTAAGGTGAAAGGATGGAAAAAAATATACCAAGCAAATGGCACTAAGAAAAAAGCAGGTGTTGCAATTCTAATATCTGACAAAATAGACCCTAAACTAAAACTAATCAGAAGAGATAATGAGGGCCACTTCATTCTGATGAAAGAAACCATTGACCAAGAGGATATTACAATCATGAACATATATCCACCAAACTCTGGTGCACCCAACCTCATAAAAACAATACTACAAGACTTTAAGACCCAGATTAATCTGAACTTATTAATAGTAAGGGACTTTAATACTCCATTGTCTCCATTAGATAGGTCAAAAGGACAGAAAATTAACAGAGGGACATCAGAATTAAACTACCATACATCAAATGGGCCTAACAGACATCTACCAATTATTCCACCTAAGCACCAAAGAACATAATTTCTGTTCGGCTCCCCATGGAACTTTCTCCAATTGACCATATACTGGGGCACAAAACAAACCTCAACAAATGCAAAGAGATTGAAATAATTTCATGCATTCTATCAGACCACAATGCGATAAAGCTTAATATCAAGATCGGAAGAAGCCCTAATAATGATATGAGTACATGAGATTAAACAGCATACTCTCGAATGATGAATGGGTCAAAGGAGAAATTAAAAAAGAAATAAAAGTATTCCTGCAACTAAATGAAAAGGACAATACAACACAAAAAAACCTCTGGGACGTGTTGAAAGCAGTCCTTAGAGGGAAGTTTATAGCTCTAAGTGCCTACATTAAAAAAAACTCAGAAAGAACACAAATAAATTTTAAAAATCTGCTAAGCACACACAAACCAAGCATTAACAAGTCGATGCAAAGGCACATGCCTATAATCCCAGCACTTGGGAGGCCCAGGATGATTGTCAGTTCAGGCCTAACCTGGGCTACATAGCAAGCCCCTGCGTTAAACACCAACACATGAAAAACAAAACAAAATGAAGCCAAAACCCATCAGAAAAAAAGAAATAACAAAAAGCTGAAATTAATGAAATAGAAACAAAGAAAACAATATATAGAATTAAAAAATCCGAGAGCTGGTTCTTTGAAAAGATAAACAAGTTTGACAGACCGCTAACCCAGT